AGCCGCCCCACGGCGTCCAGAAGCTTCTCAAGCCTCTCTCTCTCCTCCCCCCCTCCCTTCTCCCAATCCCTCCCCCTTCCCCCCTCCCTCGTCCGTTTCTTCGTAGATAATTCCTCTCCGCCTAACCACCGGGCGTGTCGGTAGGGCCGTTCCGCATGAGACCGCCAACCCCGCTCATTTCCCCGAAGCTTTATATTTTCAGCAGTTACGCGGAATGAGTGGGTCGTTGTCGCCTCAGCGACGCGCACAGTTATTTTTATGTTTTTGAAAAGTTGCGCGGACGTCTGTCTTTTTGCATTCGGCATTGGGCATGGCGCCGCATTGAGCAGCGACGCTAATACATGGGGAGCGGTTTTCAAAACGTGATTCTCGCCTTAGTGCCGTGCACGTTCGTCGTGCAAGTTACCAACAGCAAGGGGGTCGTTTTTTTCCAGACTTCACGGATGGATACCGTGATCTCTTCAAGATGGAGTTGTTTGTTTTGAGACTGCAACATATCTCCGAGGCGGAGATTTATCCATATCCACCGCCTGGGGGATCGATCTTCGCGGACATGGATAGCTTCGGGCCCTCGGGGGCAAAATTATGTCTGGATCCACCGCCCGCTGGGGCACCAGGACGTCGGTTCCCAGGCGGTGGATATGGATCAATCCCCGACTCGCATGCCACAGATACACGGATGAAGGGCGGCTCATTTTCAGTCTGGGTGTCTTGCAGGAGGGAAGGAAACACACAGACACAATTAATCGTCGACTCCCAGGAAAATGTGGGAAAATGTGGGAATTGGGGGGGGAGACAGAAACCCAGAACTTGTGGGGAGATATGAGGGCCCTTTCTTATTTGTGCGCATTTGTTTGTGTGTCCTGGGGCCCCTTCCGTCTTGCCCGAGATTCCCTCCTTTCCCTCGAGAGGCGCTGCGCGGATGGGCGGCGGCTCTCTTCCGACGCGGGGCCCTCGCTGGACACCTCCCTCGGAAGCTCGGGCCCTGCCCCGCCGCCGCCCCTTCCGGGAGGAGGAGGAGGTTCCGGGAGAAAGAGGAGGAGGAGGAGGAGGAGGAGGAGGAGGAGGAGGAGGAGGAGGAGGAGGAGGAGGAGGAGGAGGGCCAGGAGCACGTGGATGCCAGTTCCCTGACAGGAGGCCCGTCAGGGAGTTTTGGCATCCACACGCTCCTGTGGAGCAGGGGGTCGACTACAGATTGGAATTGCCCCCCGATCCACTGTTTTGTCGAACCTGCAGAAAAAAGATAGTCAGAGCCTTCCGTAGAGGCACGAGCATCCCACGTGCTCGTCGTAGCTTCGACGGGGGAGAATCCATGCGGGGGTAAAGCCGATCCTGCAGCCGATCTCTCCTGCGCCAGCGCTTCTGGCCGGTCCGTGCCGGCCGGAGCCCGGTCCCGCGGGTGTCACGGGACGGGGCTCCTCCATGCAGCCTGCGGTGGGCAGGGCGACGGGGCGCCCCGTCGCTCACGCGTTTTGGGGCGGCTCCCCCGCAGGCGTCGGGAGGGGGGACCAACACCCACAGTTTTCCCCGCGGCCAAAGTGGAAGCTCATGGGAGAGGAAGAACAGGAGCAGGAGGAGGACGACGAGGAGGAAAGAGAAGGAGGAAGAACGAGAGGAGGAGGAGGAGGAAGAGGAGGAGGTGGGGAAGCAAGAACAGGAGGAGGAAGAGGAGAAGGAGGAGAAGTAATAGTTTACCAGCCTGGAACATATCCCTATCCCTATGCTGGGCATCTCCTCGTCACGACGCCAATCTTGGGGACTCCCTCATTTTTTTGGGGCGGATCCCTGAGATTGTCATCGCCTTTTGGCGTGTCGATCTTGGAAGTAGGGATAAGTTCGAGGCTGGTAAACAGACACGAAGCATCGTCGACTCCCCAGACACTATGGGAACATATGGGAAGAGGTGGGGAAAGACAAGAACCCAGAAGATGTGGGAAGATATGGGGAATCCTGCTATCCGTAAGGGCTTCGCCTCCTGCCGCGGGCCCCCCCTCTCGGAGAACGCGCTATGCAAGAGCTATGTCATGAGGCCTGGGCGCTGTCGTGAAGCAGTGTCGGAACTTCATGCGAGGCCGACTCGTAATGAGCAAAACCAGTAGATGACCAGAGGGGTTACCACACCTGGCGATTGGTAAGACGTCGTGACCCTGCCAATCTGCGTGAGGGGTGCCACCGAATTTTCAAAAATGTGGCAAGTCCCTTGTGTTTTTGGACCCTGACCCCGCCGATCTGCGTGAGGGGTGCCATCGAATTTCAGAAATGTGGCAAATCCCTTATGTTTTTGGACCCTGACCCCGCCGATCTGCGTGAGGGGTGCCACCGAATGTCAGACATGTTGTGCAAATCCCATGTGTTTTTGGACCCTTACCCCGCCGATCTGCGTGAGGGGTGCCACCGAATGTAGGACATGTGGCAAATCCCGTGTGTTTTTGCACCCTGACCCCGCTGATCTGCGTGAGGGGTGCTACCGAATTTTCGAAATGTGGCAAGTCCCTTGTTTTGGGACCCTGACCCAGCCGATCTGCGTGTGAGGAATGCCGCCGAATTTTCGAAATGTGGCAGGCCCCTTGTGTTTTTGCATTCTGACCCCACCGATCTGCGTGAGGGGTGCCACCGAATTTCATAGATGTGGCAAAGCCCTTGTGTTTTTGGACCCTGACCCGGCCGATCTGCGTGAGGGGTGCCACCGAATGTCAGAAATGTGGAAAACCCATATGTTTTTGGACCCTGACCCCGTCGATCTGCGTGAGGGGTGCCACCACAGAATGTCAGAAATGTGGCAAATCCTGTGTGTTTTGGCACCCTGACCCCGCCGATCTGCGTGAGGGGTGTCAATTTTTACCCACCCCAGCAATTCAGACAATACGTTTTGGCCGTGGTAGAAATGCCCGTTTTGGGCCTCCACCCCTCGCGCGGTCCATCAGCAAGGAACATTAGCAGCAAGAAGCAGAACTGCAACAAGGAACAGTAAGCATCAAGAAAAATAACTGTAAACATGGAAACTGGAAGCTGCAACTGGTACAGGAAACTGCGAACCTTCGCCCTACAACCTGGTGGCCCCACAAGGGGGCTGGCGGATTTGCATGTATGTATTCCCCATATCCAAAGGATGGTGTTCTTGTTATTCTCCTACCGCGCAGGACCAAGAGAACCCCTCCCCTCCTCCCTCTCTGCACTAGACAATGATGATGACTGTCATGATGATGACCATGCTATGGTGAGAGTATGATGTGAGTGTGATGGTGATGGTGAATGATGGATGAGTATGGAGTATGCTAATGAGTATGAGTATGAGTATGAGTAATGAGGATGAGGATGGGATGAGTATGATATGATGATGATGAATGATGCTGATGATGATGAATGATGATGATGAATGATGATGTTTAGTGATGATGATGGAGATGATGATGATGATGATGTGTGATGATGATGATGATGATTATGATAGATGCTGATGATGAAATGATGATGATGATGATGATGATGATGATGATGATGATGATGATGATGATGATGATGATGATGATGATGAGCAGATGATGATGAGCAGATGATGAGGATGTCTCGAGCGGTTTGCTGGTTTTAGCACTCCTAAGGGGGGACCGCCAGGGGTATTGCACGGCCTCCTTTCGCGCCCAAATGGCGGGGATGTCTCAGGCGTTTGCCTGTTTCGGTCCTCAACATCCTCCGCTTTCGGAGCAGAATCTGAGGATGTCTCAGGCGGCTTGCTGGTTTTAGCACTCCTAAGGGGGGCCCACCAGGGGTATTACACGGCCTCCGTTCGCGCCCAAATGGTGGGGATGTCTCAGGCGGTTTGTCTGTTTCGGTCCTCAACATCCTCCGCTGTCGGAGCAGCTTCTGAGGATGTCTCAGGCGTGGCGCTGGTTTTCGTACCCCAGGGGTGCCAGATTTCGACCATGTCTGAAGCGGTTTGCGTGTTTTGGTGGTCAGATTCGTCTGCTGTCAAAGCAGATTCTGAGGATGTCTACAGGACTTCCGCACTCCCGGAGGGCCCAGATTGCGAGGATGTCCTGGACTCACTTATGCTCAAACTCACTCGTGCTCAGGCTCACTCATACTCAGACGCGCACTCATCATACTCATACTCAGACTCACTCATACCCAGACTTACGCACACTCAGACTCACTCACACTTCGACCCACCCACCCTCAGACTCATTCGTAGTCAGACTCACTCGTACTCAGACCCACTCAGGGCCAATTTCATATCCATCATACTCATACTCAGACGCACTCATATTCAGATTTACTCACGCTCAGAATCACTCACACTCAGACCCACCCACCCTCACATTCTCTCGTAGTCAAACTCACTCGTACTCAGACCCATTCAGACTGAGACTCGTACTCACTATACTCATACTCAGACTCACTGGCTTTCGCACCCCAGGGGGGGCAGATTGCGAGGATGTCCCCAGACTCACTGTGCTCAGACTCGACTCATCAACTCATACTCAGACTCGCTCACACCCATCCATGCAAATAATGCACACATGGGAAGTTTCACGCAGTGAATAATTATTTGTGTGTCCAGGGCCCTTTCATGCATGACGCATGTCCTTCTATGGGGCCACCGGGAAGGGGACTTGGGACCGGTTGGGAGTATTGCAGCACTGCTGATCCATCAGTGAGCTTATTTTGGTCTCGCCTCCCTCCTCCTCATCTTCCCCCTCCCTCGTCCTTTCACTCTTCTTCGTCTCCTCCTTTCTGCCATCCAACACTTTTGGATCGTTGTGTAACGATGGTCACATTGGAAGAGCGTGAAGACCTCTGCAGACCTCCAAATCCTGGCGGGACAACCATCGTGGTCCATCAAAACAACCTGGAGGCACACGGGAGCAACTAGCCCTATAGCCTTGACTGGGGTTTTTCAACTTGTATACTTACAAATTTCACCAAGCCTTCGCCGCCCTCGACTTGCCTTTCCTCCTGTCCCCTGGCTTCCCGTGGCCAGGGATGCAGTAGGCCAGAGCCAGATGTATAGGCAGGACTTCGATTGCCAAAGGTATGCCAGCACGACGACGACGACTACCGGACGACGACGACCACGAACAACCAAAGGACTACGGACGACGGACGTCGGCGACAACGGCGACGGCGACGCGAGGCGATAACGACCGCCGATAGCGACGAAGATTACAGCGACGACGGCGGCGACGTGCGGCGACGACTCGAGGGACGACCGCGGCGGCGCGGCGCGACGACGACGACGGCGACAACGACAACAGACGCCCGCGGCGATGACGCCGCGACGACGCCGCCGCCGACGACGACGACGACGACGACGAGTGGCCAGGACTTCGGCGTCCATGGGGCGGCCTACGGCCAGGGCATGCCCGCGGGGCAGCAGATGATGGTGCAGCAGCAGCCAGAGCAGCCCGTAAG